CCGCCGTTTCTCAAAATCACTGCCTTTGCCTCTACCTCTACTCATGATGACTTTGAGCTCGGTTTCACTCAAGAGAATCTCAAGAATTTTGCTCATGATCTTAGTATTGGGTTCGAGCTTGAAGTTCTTAATATGGAGTCTTTGAATTCTGGCTCCTGGCCTTTGCCTCTTAATGTTTCGGAGAATGAGGCGATTGCAGTGAATCTCCCCGTTGGTTCGTTCTTTAATTACTCGCTTCCGTTGCCAATGGTTCTTCGTTTTGTCAAGCATCTTTGCCCGAAAATTGTTGTTTCTGTCGACCGGGGGTGCAATCGAATGGATGCACCATTCCCCTTCCGTGTGATCAATGGGCTTCAGTCTTACTCGGGTTTGCTTGAATCTATGGATGCTGTTAGTGTGAATCTCGACACCCAACTGAAGATTGAGAGGTACTTGCTGCAACCCGGGATCGAGAAGCTCGTCATGAGTCGTCATGGTTCGAACGAGAGGTTGCCTCCATGGAGATCTCTGTTTTTATCATCCGGGTTCTCCCCATTGACATTCAGTAACTTCACCGAGTCGCAGGCCGACTGTCTGCTGCACCGGACGCCTGTTCAAGGATTCCACATTGAGAAGAGACACTCCACGCTCGTTCTATGCTGGCAACGGAAAGAGCTCGTCTCGATCTCGGCCTGGAGGTGTTGAGAGAGGGATTAGCTAGCTCCCATCGTCGTGTCGTCATCGTCGTGCTCGCTCGCCCCGATCAATTTCCCATTCCAAAGGTACCTGATCATTCTTCTGGCTTTTAGTTGTCTGATTGATGATCATCAAATCAAAATTGTGGTCTTTTTTTTTTCATTTACTTGTGCTTCTTCAACTATGCTAATTGTCTATGTGCCATAGGCCAAAAAACTGATCTTTTTTAAGCAAAACTTCAATGGCTTTTTCTGTACAGTTTCTCCATTACTTCTCTGTCTCTCTATTGTTTGGTTTCAGTCAAATTCTAATTGTCCATTGCTATAATCTTAAAAATTGTTTCTTTATTGTGTTCATTTTCATTCATTTGAAGCTCTGTTTTTTGGGTTTCAGACACTGAAACAATGGCAGTGAGTGATGTTTGTGAATATTTTGAGGCCCTTAAAAGAAAATAATGATGAGATTGAAAAGTAGTGTTTGATGTTGAAAAGGAAAAATRTTTGGTTCTTTTTTGGAGGATCGTTTGGGACAGCGCACTCCAAGTGGTCCTATCATAATTCAATCTTTCTCCTTTTACTCATCCTTCCAAATTTAATCCAAATCATTTTGTGTTTTTATTTGGGTCATCCATGACTATGAGGGGCCAATAAAACTCTTTTTTTTTTTTTTGGGTAGTTGAAGTTATGAATTGTCTTTCTAGCCCCCCTAGTTGGTTAGGGCTTCCAAGGCGGTCTCGAAGATCAATCGAGGGGAAGGTGATTCGAATCTACAATTCATGAGTTATGTTTTAGTTGGTCGTGTAAGGTTGTTCTCTTGAAGTAGTGATCAGATGTGGTTCAAGACCATGAAGGTTGTGTAGCATCGTCAAAATTTTTCCAGGGAGGGACAAAATCTTACTACCCAACTTTTTTTTTTAATATATATAGTCTTTAGTGGGGACTAATTCTTTCTCAACAAGTTTTCGAAATTAAGACGAAGTTATGAGGGGACAATCTTTCATTCTTCGCCCTCTCGTGGAAATTTTTGCAAATGGGTGTGTTTATAACTTTTTCTTAATTTTTCTTTTTCCATTCAACTAGAAAAACTGAATTTTAATTATCTTTTTGTATATATATATATATATATATATATATGTACATTTTCATTTGGAAACAAAGTTGAAATAGTGGGAATAAGAGAATAAATACCTTGTTGCTCACTTTTGTTGGGTTTTTGAGTTAATAATTGATCAAATGAAAAGGGGGAAAAATTAAAATGTAAAAGAGATGGTTGAAATGCACAAAGGAAAAATAAAAATAAAAAAAACTTTGGCAGGTGGAGAGAGGTTGTCCGAGGCCACAACCATGATGCAGCGAATAAAGAGGAAAAGAAAGTTGCAGGGTTAGCAAAAAATGAAAACNAAAATAAAAAAAAAAAAGAAAAAACAAATTTCTGTTGTCTTTTCCCGAATTTACTTTAATTTTGGGCCAAAGTTGAAATAGTGGGAATAAGAGAATAAGCTTTTGTAACATCCCACTTTAGCTTGTCTACAAGCTTCTATATTATTCAATGATTCAATACAAGTAATAGGTTAAAATTTACTTTTTTATTTCAATTTTTTTTAAATCAACCTTTTTCTTATTTATCATTCAAATTTGGGGAAAAAATTATTTTCATTGATTAAATTTAGGTTTAAGAATACTTTTGGTCCCTGCAATGTCACTGAAGTTATAATTTAGTCATCGAACTTTAATTTGTAATGATTTAGTCATTGTATTTTTAAATTGGTAACAATTTAGTCCATAAACTTCAATATGTAACAATTAAGTCATTGTAATTTAAGTTGGTAATGATTTAGTCTCTATCGTAAAAAGTGTCGTTAAGATTTAATAAGATTTCTTATATAATACAAATCTACACTTAAATTTGATGAGAAGTTCACGGTAGGGACTAAATTGTTATAAAATTTAAACTAAAGGGACTAAATTGTTACTTCAACGAAAGTACATATTTTATCGTTAAATTTATAATTTTTTCTAGTCATTTGTTTTGTGTAATGGTAACTTTTTGATGTTGATACATCAAAAAAGTATTAATCTAGTCCTTTTTAATGTGTTTTCTTACTGTCTTTATTTTAATCTTTATATAATTGGTTGTTAGTTTTTTATTTTTTAAATATGACTTGATTTGAATATGTTATAATGTTGAACTTAGAATAAATAAAAGATAAACTACAAGAACAGAACAAAATTTTTCAAGCAAATATTTATTACTTAATTACAAAAGGCTTTATCTAAAAGAAAAATCAAAACGCTTAAAATTCATAAAAAATTTTCAAGCAAATATTTATTACTTAATTACAAAGGGCTTTATCTAAAAGAAAAATCAAAACGCTTAAAATTCATATTTTTAAATATATTAAAATAAAAATACGTTAAATTAAACAAATGTCTCTACTATTATTGACAAATTATTTATGGATGTGACAAACAAGCTCCATAATATCGTAATTTATTTTAATAACACGAAGATTTGACAATTCACAATGATTGAAACCCATGAATTTGAAGCATTTTTTAATAACTAATCCCATTTGTGCTAAAATTTTTGATATTATAGAAATATTTGGTAAATTTTAATTTTATTGATAGAAACGATAATAGTTAAAAGGAATATATGAATTAAAAATGTAATTTAATGTAAAATTAGGGATTTTTTTTTTTTTTGCATATTTTATGTTTTTATTTATTACTATTCTACTTGTTGATATACAAATGAATTAAATTTGCCCACTGAACTTGCCTCAATGTTAAGATACATATTACCAAAACGAATGTAGTTGAGTGATAATTGACATATATCTCAAATCACATATTTTCGACCGTGAATTAGAATSCCTCTCTCATATTGTATTAAACAAAATCAAATCAAATTTTGTTCAATTTTTTGCGAGTCATTTAACTATTTTCATGATTCGTTTCGAATATTTATATAAATTAATTTTAAATATTTTAAAGGTTTATGGGTCCTTTTTCTTTTTTTTTCCTCTTTATTTTATTTTAAATTTAGACTATAATTAATTTAATAATACTATAAGTTTAAGTTTTAATTTCACCAGCAGAGTTTCAAATCTTATATTTGTCTCTACACATTCTTGCTTATCTAATTTTATTTTCCTAAACTATCAGGCATTTATTTAAAAAAAAAATCATTACTATTAATTTTTTAATATGACATAGGCACATTTTCTTTTGTTTAATTACCTAATAAGATTAAAATCGATTTTTATGAACTAAAATTGATTATTTTGAAACTCAAGGTCTAAAGTAAATAGGTTTAGTCACCAGTATGGTCCTATAACTTGCATTAAGTTTCGATTTGACTCTTATAGTTATAAAAGTTTCAATTTAGTCTCTATGATTTATACTTAGTAATTTCRATTTAGTCCCTAATAATTTTACAAGTCTCAACCAGACCGTATAGTTAATTAAGTTAATATCATAAATCATTCTTAAATTATTTTTTACCCACATACAAATCTAAACACTTTTTCTCTATGATCCCAAATCCTAATACAGTCAACTAACATAACTAATCAAATAAAAAAACACTAGCTCATTGCCACGTAAATAGAAAATATGTCAAATATTCTATATGGTAACCACTCGTAAGCGTAACAACAAAAATGATATGTGAGGTTTCACTGAAGCATAAATACCAAATTAAAATGTTTAAAATTATAAGAACTAAATTGAAACTAAATTAAAACTCTAGAGATSAAAATTTGTATTTCAACTTTTTTCAAAGTCAAACTTCAAGTTTAGTCTATAAACTTTGAAGATTGTGTCTAATAAGYCTATGAAATTTAAAAGTGTCTAATAAACCTCTAAAGTTTCAATTTTGTATCCATCAGGATTATGAACTTTTACTCATTAATCTATGTTTTTTTTTATCATGAATATTTATTTTATAGATTAAAGATTAAAATATTATTTTGGTTCCTATACGTTTAACTTTGGTTTATTTTAATCTCTATACTTTCAAAATATTCGTTTTAGTCTGTATACTTTTAATTTTAATTCATTTTAATCTATGTACTTTCAAATGTTCATTTTGGTTTTTATACCTTTAAAAGGGATCATTTTAATCACTATTCGAAAATTTTAACATAAATTTTGCCCAAACTTTTTAGTATAAAGTAATAGTTATATTTTAAGAAATACATAGAGGGCATTGATGTAGAAATTTTTATAGAAAAAAAAATTAAAGGGTCAAAATAGTTATTTTAAAAAAATATAGAAAGCAAAACGAATATTTACAAACATTTTGAATAATCAAAATAAATCAAAACTAGATGGAGAAATGCCAAAATAATATTTTAACCTAAATTTTTTTTAAAAAAAGGCCGTACCATCACAGTACCAAACAGCCAATCAGACGACCGTGACCGATTGTCATTTAGGGTTGTGGGCCCATCTCCCGCTCCGAAAATGACATTTCCATCTTCCCTCTGCCACGTGTATGGTGGATTCGTGCCTTTGACCGCAGCTTAGGCGACAGTCCTGTGTCGATTTAATACATTTTGTGGGCCCCGCAATCCTCCACATTGAGATGTCCCCGTCGTCTGAATCAGGCCCATCAGCACCGTCCGATGGAATGCCCATCTCGAACCTCCGCCGTCCGATTGATGCAATAAGTACGCTGGGGATTGTCAATAATTGAGCACGTTGATCCCCTTGTCCTTTGGTTTTACTCAATAATTTCTTTTTATCCAACTAGATTAACTGATTTGACAATCACGCTTTTTTTTTTTCCTTTTTTTAAAATTATATAAAAAGTTTTAGTTGTTTCCAAGTATATATTATAAGTTTAGTGAAGTTGTATCTAATGGATCACAGAGTTTAAAATATTATTTGATCCATTTTTGGGGTATGTTTGGTTGGTGATCTAGAAATCGACGATGAAAAATAAAGTTGTATTCCATGTGTTTCAATATTCTCAAATATATGTTTTGTAGCATATTTAAAAACTGAATATCAACTTAAAAAATGGTCTAAAGTGTTTATAATATATTTGTAAACTAGCGGTAGTTGCGAATGAAATATATATTTAATTCAATCTAAAATAATATTATTTTATAATATTATATAATTTATAATAGTTTATGTTTTAAAGTTTTTAATTTTAACACAAATAAAATGAGTTTATAACCTATATTTATCCGAGTATTTATTTTGTTGACGTAATTCTGTATTTTAAAATTTTAAATTTAAAATATGAAAAACACT